GATACAGCTGAACTATTATTATTTGTTTATTATTATTATTATTATTATTATTATTATTGTTTACTGCGTGTTTGTGGTAGACCAGCTCCGCCCCGCTCGATTGTGATGTTGAACAAACCCACCTATCATCTCTCATACTCAACTGATTTGATAATGTGCTTTCATTATTTCTACAGCCACATGGACAATGAGGCTGGTCCTCCGACTGAGGAACCAGTAACGGCTGCGGTTCAATCCGAGTCGGACTCCGCTTTAGAAGCTTGGTGGGATTCGTTTTTGAAGCAAAAGCGAGCGGAGGATGCGTTGGATGCAGAGCTTCGTTCTACATGGGAAAATTGCAGCCAACGGCGCCTAAAGTTTGCGCGGGAAGTGAAGCAAATGGCCGAACTTTATCAACCGATAGAGAAGCTTATCCAGACTGTGCTCGAATCTGACAAGGCACATCGTGGAGATAATCTCTATCGAGAGTGGGGTAAGTGTCATATTATGAGTGCCTTGGCCCAAATAGATAGGATTTTCAATTTTCCATATCCCAGGATAATATATTGATCTAATACTTTCTCGGTTCCATCCTGATATGGGTCCGCTAATCGATGTCAATGGCTGTTGTGTTGTCAGTTTCTATCCAGATTGCCTGAGTGAATGTCTGGAGGTGTAGGCACCTCGGAATGATTGTGTTAAGCTAGCACTCCTCCCCCCTTAATGAGATAGTAAAACATTTCTGGAGACCCAATAGTTTTTTGGCTGCCTTCAGAGAAGGCAACTTTACTGACTCATGACTAAGACAGTGGTGGACAGCATTAAAACGATGTTTTTACTGGCTGCTTCGTATCTTACATGTCTTTGAAGCTGGTTTATTACTGTGGTAATCCTTTCATATGGTCACCCAAGCTGAATTCATTCGCGCAACATCGAAGGTGAGCAGGCAGTAAGTGTTATGGTGATTCAGTAAGGTTAGAGGATTTGAGTACCAAGACTAACAAAATGGACTGAAGCTGCTTTGCTGTCTTGGAACTCAAACAACGCGCGGTTATTGGGATTCTGCCAAGTCATCCAAGAGTTGCCAGAAACACTTGAAAAGCCCGGTGGCTGTGAGCCATTAACTTTGTGACAAAGTTCCCACTTCAACCTTCACGTTGTCTGAAAGCCGACCAGGCAGACTCGTGGTGAGTACTGAGATTCAGTGGATCCACAGCAGATTTTAATAATATTTTCCTGTCAGCGTCCGCCTCAAGCCATACAATCATGATGTTTTCTTCGAGAAGCCGAGACGGCAGCATTCCTTAATTTCGTTCCTCCTCCAAAGCAAACGTGTGGTCGAAAGACCGTCCATATGTGTAAACTTCCATTGCTCCTTTCATCTCTTTTATTTTGACGAAGATTTTTATTGCGCGCGATTTCCGCATCAACGAACTCTTGTCAGTGGAATACAGTTGATAGGCCGGAACTTCTATATCAATTCGTTGTTGGCAGATTTTTCGTAATTTGCTATTCATTACGTAACCTCGCCAGGCCAAAATGTTTTGCCGTTTAGACTCTTAATTCTAGGCTGTTCATATCGCCTCAGTTGCCGGAAGAGAGTTCATATTCATCTGTTTATAAAGGTTCATGGTCACTTATTTATTTACCTTGTGACCCCATTGGCTTCAATTGACTGTATCGACAGCAGTTTCTCCTAACTTCCCAATGTCTTCTATGATTATTCGGGAGCATTCGCATTTTCTCTGTGGACAGAAAAGATACCAGTATCGCATCAAATGCAACGAACAAACAAGTAGCACACAGCCGGCGGTTCAGACCTTACTGGGGCTTTACCTCAGTGTAACAAAAGGCCCTTCCCAATAATGAGCTTGGTGAGATGAGTGGATCTTTTCGGCAGGTATTTTCAAGGTATCACCTGCTGACTTCATATGTGACTGTGAATAATAGTAGACAGTTTTTGCTTGAGGACACCAGTTTCAAATCAAAGCTTTTGCATGGCTGACGGCAGATAATCGCGTTCAAGTTATTGAAAACGTTCGGTATTCGACAAAAGGGAGGGGAACATGGAAGACTCCATGCTGAAAATCAAAAGCTACTAAACGATTCCATGTGCTGAAGGGCTTGTACAGTTTTACTTCCGTTTTCCATATGTCCTGCTTGAGGTGGTCAGTGTAGGTGTCGATGCTGAAAATCAAAAGCTACTAAACGATTGCATGTGCTGAAGGGCTTGTACAGTTTTATTTCCGTTTTCCATATGTCCTGTTTGAGGCGGTCAATGTAGGTGTCACTCGTGGTATACAGTAGAATCACTCGTGTAAGGGTGTTTTCGTGGCCGTAATTTTCTCCGTTTGGCTCCACTCTAACGACTTGAGGAATGTTGGAACTGTCATTTAGAACAGAGTGATAATAAGACGGGTAGCCTTTGTTCGGCCTGTAGGTTGTCCTTCTATAAAGTGCTGTTTCGTGTATTCTTTTTTATGCATTCGGCTGGTGGGGATTAAGCCATAAAGGCGACCGTTGTACCTTAAGAATTCCATTGGCAGACAATGGTGACTCGGGTCGAGATCGCTCGGTGGTGAGAGCGCGAATTTACCAACTGGAAGGCTCGTGGTTTGAGCGCAACCTTTGCATCTCGACTTCTGGTATTTACCAGCCCTCTTCCCTCTTCCGGATGGCGTGGCAGCTAGCCATGGAAAGGGTGCTACAGCGGAACAGTAATATCTTTTCTTATTTGGTCTGAGTCTCCAGGGTGGAGAAAACCTTCTAACTGAGTAGCTTCTCATTCGATTGTTGCTACTTGGTCACGATCTGAATATTGCTAAATGGTTCCCACTCAGAAGGTGGCTGGGATGAAAAGGATAATCTTATAATGCGTGTCAGCTATGTTGGATTGATAACTGTTGGCGGCATCTTTTCTGATTTTCGCGCTCCGTCATCTGTCTGACTATGTTTCATGGTATATTTCCCTGGCAGTTTTTGGTATGAAGTTTCTATTAAGCCAATCAAACGGTTCCCCAACGTTTAGCTCATAATTTTAGATGATGTTCTTTTGACACATTTTGAATTGAACTTAGTTCCCCTGTTCCACTGAGGTGAGGCTACGTTTGACATGTTTTTCGAATTGGTTAGAGTGTGGTTTGATGATATCCTGTTGCCGTAGCCTTCTCAATTCCAAAAGCTATCGTTGTCTAATAACTGTTCTCTTTAGCTCTTCCTCATTTTGACTAATGCAGTGGTAAATGCGAAGTTTAGAGACTACGTGCGATTACCGCTCTGGGTCCCCATTGACACTAGGTCGACTGAGCTATCCAGTCTCAGTTGGTATCAATGAGGTAGCGATGTTAAAGTTAAATAGTGAAATGCATTTGCCTGGTGAGGTTGAAGCAGAAAACTTCAACCGATTCCGTTGAGGTGAACGTAATGTGCAGCACCACGTGGTGGTAATCCTCTCTCTGTGCCTGGGACAGCCTCCTACCGATTCATTCGGATAAGTAGTGTTTTCGCGTTCATTGACTTCACATCCTTCTGAATGGATTGGAGTGAGTGTCACAGGCCACCGGTGTGGTTTTTTGTATGAAATTTTCCACAGAGCCCCTGCTGAGGAATTGCAGTTCACTGCCTTTCCATGGCAGAGGTGTTTGCCTCTTATTTGATGTCACATCCTTGTCGACTCCTTTCATTTGAACCCTATTTTACTTTTGGATCTTTAGCGCCGGAAAAATCGGCCCACAGCTTCATTACCAAGTTAAAGAGTGTGTTGTCTCCAGAGGAACTAAATTTGATTTTATCCCAGACAACAGAGGGCGAACAGATGCGATATTTCTACCGCCATTGGGTGAGTTATTTCCATACTTATATCAAATACAGTGGTCTCTTGCTTTTGTCCGTTTCACACAGTCACCTCCTCAAAACGGGACACCATCTCGGTTCCACAGACACTACCGACGGATCGATGGGCAAAATGCCGAAGCTCTTACTTTTGGCTGATACTGCCCAACCAACTCCCCTCAGAAGTCGAGGAACGCGGACGCGATTGATATGTTTCTGTTCCGCAATAGTGAGGCGGAATGTACTAAAGCCGAGCTTCCCCCTGATGCATATTCCTGATACTTCCAAAGAGGCTCTACAGCTGAATTTTCTGCACAACGATGTGGTCAGGTGGTGAATGTCTAACACAACAACTATTGTGATCTACCACAGAGCGTGAGGTTACAGGTGATTGGTCTAGTATTTCTAGACAAAGTCAGGAGCACTTCAGGTACTGTAGGCCCAATCAGTCAACGAAGGCTCATTTGTGCTGCTAGGAATCCAGGTAGATAGTCTAAGTCTTTAGAGTACCATGTCGTCAGAAATAGGATATTGGTGCCCCTTGAGGGTGCAATGAAAATAGTTTGGCTGAGTCCAGAAAGCGCCATTGGACATTGCTAAGCTATTCCTAGACTGCGGGCGATTATCAGTGTAAAAATTCTGGTGCCATGGAGAACTAGTGAGTCTACAGCTTTCCACCTGCTGTCCCCCCGAAGTAATTTCACACATCATGCTTGTCTCAGTTCGCATCTTTGGGTGTAGAATAGGTTGTTTTGCTTGCGGAATACCGCGCAAGTTTACTTTCTTTTCTATGTAGGTTTATTACAGGAAAACGCTGGCTGACCGCGCTCTATGTTAAATTGATAACTTCACTGGTTCCCAAGTGGGTTCCTCAGTTTGAGTGGAAGTCAATTATTTCAATGCCGTGATCATGGATACCAGTAGATAGACGACGTTTAACCAGTATCGTACACCAACTGGTGAAAGTTAATCTTTCTACTAAAATCACCGTCGCTGATGCCGATAAATCTGTGGAGGACCAATAGAACAGCTCAAACACAGGTGAATGGATCGAATGGCGAGTAGAAAGAGGCCGAATTTAGGACCACGAAAGGAGTTTCAGATTGCAATTTTAAGCTATTGGAACTTCGCGAGACAAATGAACCAACCCTAAGGCCCTTAGTGGCATCTCGTGTTCACTGACCATACTATTTGACCCGCATTAAATAGGAATCACTGGAGTGTAGAATTTATTGTGTACATCATGTAACAAACGTAGGTTGCTGTTTGACGTTCGGTCACTTGTCCGTCGCGTGAAACTAGCGACTTGGACATTCCCCATCATATGGACCTCTTTACTAGAGGAGATTAATTTGGCCAGGTCCCAGAGGTGGTTCTTGTTCGGGGGAAGTGTACTGCTGTGCATGTTTTTACGGAAAATCATGCAGCCAGCTGTGTATGTGTGTGATTTCTACAATGGAGTTGATATTTTTATCTGTTCCAGTGTCTTAAGGAAGCCTACCTGAAGGCAGTTGGTTGTGGTATACGTCTCCCTCTTAGTACCGTGCAATGCACCTTATGCCCTTCGGGCGAACCCTCCGTTTCCTGCAGCTTTGATGACTTCGCATCAGGCTATTGGAAGTTTGAGGAGCATTCACTCCCTGGTGGCCACCTCGCCGCAACTGCTTGGTTCAGACCGACGGTGAGTATCTCGCGAATTGGTTAGTTTATTTAATTATGCTCGATTTTCATCAAATTTCAGATGGTCTCTGTATAGCCATTCGATAAAGGGATACTGGCTTGTCTGAATAGTTTATCGGACCCAGGAAATATAAATCCATGACCACATGAAGTGACTCTCGTTGAAAGCAGCTTCTGCTATCCTTTCATTCTGTTCCCTTTGAGCTGGGAATATTCGAAAATCTTATTTGAGTAATTTCATTTTTCAAGCGTTAACTTCGTCCTTTTGGACTAAGTCAACCTCTGTAAAAGCATCGTGTAAATGTTTCATGACTATTCAATAATCATCGTCAGCGGTGCAGATATTGTGAACAACCAAGTAAACTGGAGCTGTCGACTCTCCATATAAAAGCTGGACACTTGCCGTTCAGCTGAACATGGCTAACCTACGGTATGATCCGCTTTCATTCATACATCAACCGTACGCATGTGATCCAAGCGATGATATCCGTTGGCTCTCCTTTCAGGGTGAATTACCATACTTTCACATCCATGCACCAAAATATCTTGAGTCATTTGTTTACAATCATACAAAGGTGTTTCCTATTCGAGACGAAGCCTTTTTGACTTCTTAACAAACGCCTTCAAACCCGATTTCGCAGCTACCTTCAAAAAAAGAAACATTTACACCTCTTTAGAAGTCTCCGTTGCATCCAACGGCTCTAGCTATTCGAGCTGTAGTGGTGATTCGTTGCCTTCTACAAAATCTAAATGATTGTGGATTCTTACTAAAACGTGACTTTATTTTGGTCGTCTGTTTGACGTTTACTTCAAAAGTGCATGTTCTGCCGAGCTAGGTTCATGAACCGACGCCATACTTAGGGGAAAACATGTCGTACAGAAGTGCCATTTTCTATTTAGGAGAATGTTGGTAGCTCAGGTACCGGTGATCGTTGGTTTGTTCGCTGAACTGGGCAATTTTATTGCGGAAGTATCATAGTAAATCAGCGTCTGTTTCATTCCCAAGTTGCAATCCAGATCTTTATTTCCCATTCCAGACCATCCGATCAACTATGTTTAGAATATCCTTTGGATTTCTTCTTACTTTCCACCGGTATGGATATGCTAATCAAAATATCCTTCACTTTACAGCCGCACACGCCTTTTAACGAGGCGCCTTGTTTCACGGAAGTCGATTTTACCGGTCTGATCGAGGGTTTAACCCGATTCACGGATGCTCCCGAAGAAGCCTGGTTGGCGTTCAGTAGCAAACCTCGTGAACCACCGTCTACTCGCCGGGTGCTTTTTGCTGATGAATGAACTCCCAAGATTTCCCACTCTCAGAACTCCCCAGAATTACTCACGTATCCTACACTTTACCATGAGAAACTTGTATACTCTCATTGGTCTATGCGCCTATCCCTGATTAGACCCCGCTTTTGTTGGGGTTTCCGTCATTTTGTATATAGCTGTTGTGTATTACTGTCTCTCTCGACGAAACATCAGCCGAATTAGAGAGACGTTCTTGACACGGAAAGAAAGGTGGGGTGGATCGTCGTCATTGATTGTGACAGATAACGCTTGAAATAATTTATAGCATTTCATAATATATTTATCATACACGATGTAGTAAATCCTGGTCTACGCCGCACATCCAACCTGTCATCACTTCCACACGTTCGACTGTCTTGGGCGACAATTCTGAACTAGGGGGAGGGTTCGATGGTCCAGGGGAGAATGACAGTCTTCGACTTCGAGACACCAACTACTGTGTTACCGAACGGTAGTCCGATTACTCTCAATGATCGAGACACCAACTACTGTGTTACCGAACGCTAGTCCGATTACTCTTCTTGAGCCATCATCATCGACAGCATGACATCAGTGTTCAACACCGATGCTTCACTGCCGTACTCTTATTGAGTAATCTGACATGAGTCCCCACTGTTTTTTGTTACATATGTTCCATTTTTGTTGCCAACTTATGTGTAGTCAAAATACGCATTGGTACTGTCACACGCGTTTATACCTATTTTTGTTCATTCTGTAGAATTCTATACAGACAAAAAAGGAGTATGGTGAAGACTTAATTCCCGTCCGGTTCTTGTTCAGAGGGCACATGCAGCACTCCATTCTGCATTTCGTCCAGGTACTCCCGGGGCTCCGTTTGACGAGATTTGAGCTTTTTTGCTAGCAAATTAATCAGTATGGCGACGAAAATAAGAGACGGTCACGCATAATGTCTAGAAGCTTTAGATCCTTGCAACCCTCCAGTAATAATATAATCGTTCATCTGCAACGTCCTTGCGGCGCATTGCTGCCCTGCCATCCAAACGAAGCACGACGGCTGAGTGACTGCCAGGTTGTCCAAGCCTAGACAAGTGCACCGGCGGTGCAGTGGGGTTCAAAACACGGACCTTCTGGTCAGGGAGTTCGAACCTTAACCAGTAAGCTATTTTGTGCTTTGGAGTAGCTGGAGAAAACAACTCTGTATAATTCTCATGTTCATATCAGACAGATCGACTTCTTGCTTCAGTTCAACCGTTTAGTAGTAGTATTTACAAAGTATTTTACAAAGTGTCAAATCGACCTTAGCCTGCCAACTTTTTCAGCCTTACAGTGTGAGGCATCATGACTTCGGTGCTCTAGGTTAAAGTTCGAACAGCTTTTTTCCACTTGTTCTACTACGATCCGCGTTTGTTTTTATGAACCTCCAAGACACTAAGGAATATGTTCGGTACACCGTTTTCTAGGAGGTACTTCCGCCAGGTACATCGGCCCACCGAATCATAGGCGGCTTTGATGTCCAGGAAAACTGTAGTAGTTGGTCGTCCGTATAGGCGGCGATTCTCTATGATGTTGCAGTGTGGTCAACATAATCACATCTATTGCGAAAACCAGTTTATTCTTCATAGCACCTCAGTTAGTAGGTGAAGGTTAACTCTCGAAAAATTAGGATTCCCAGAACCTTCGGCACGACTGATATGAATGAGACTTATTCCTCGATGATTCGAACAATCGGTACTCCGATGTTTTCATGAATATAGGATCTACAACAGGCTTTGTCCAGAAGTGATCTTGTACCGTGTTATCCAGCCTTCGGCAAGTAAGTTAGATTCGTTGGTAGAATGTCACTGCCACAATTGAATAGTTCCGAAGGCAGTAAGTCTTCACCAGGAGGCTCAAAACTGTTTGCGCTGCGCACTTCATCAGCAGATCACAGAACTTTCCTATCAAATACCCTGGAACACGTGCTGAAAAAAGCAACGCAGTTAGGTTGAAACATGGCCTATGCGTCGATTGAGTTTCGTAATAAGTGTACCCTTAAGTTTGCGTATTGTTTCATTTACGATCATCCTCTTTGGGTCAGTTGGTCGAACCGGACAAAACAAACAGTGGCCGTCAGCGTTTGCCCCAGCTCATTCCATCTCTACCTTAGTTCTCCGTCCCCCAGTAACTGATAACTGGCGCTCGATTGCTTTTCTTCCTGCGTTGTGGTTGGGTCAGCGGAAACAGGTCGTAGTAGACTCAACCGAAGGCTCTGTGCCAATGTCTACGATGTCAATGAACGCCTGATATAACCAGATGTTGGTTTCGACATGTTCGAGGGTGCGTGGAACAGGTGGCCTGTGTTCTTTTATAGTTGGAAGTCTTCCTACCAACTGCCAAATCATGTTGGAGTATTTCCAGGACAGGTAGTTCTTTCAGTCCAATCACAACATAGCACTCTGATTAGTTAGTTCTCCTTTTGCAGAATTGCAGCTTCCTGTTAATCTCACCACATCCAGTCTGTTGTTAATAGGCATTCAATGTAAAGCTGCGGATTTCATCCGTTGGATGAGAACTATTCCAACATAGGGCACTGCTTTTGGTGAAATGGAGTCACCAGAGCGGCGTATGTGATGTGTTGCTTGACTACTTATTAATGAAGAGTTCCAGCGAGCAATCAGTTTATGATCGTGTGGGCGGATTTCTGAGGGGAAAATATCCACGGGGAGACCCTCTAGGAACCTGCCTCCTGTCCAACTCATCTTGGCGCCCGAACGTTGTCAGAAGCTAGCGTGAAGGAGTTGCAGAGGTCCATTGGTGTATGAAAGTTGAGTGGTTTCTGGCGATAACATGGGCAAAACTCATGTCTGCGACAATGGTAACATGTGGTCTGAAAAGGCATGTTTAGGTTCGAGCGTTGTCCTACCGGAGTTATGCTGTCATACGCGTGAGGGGTCGTGATATTTTGTGGCTGCTCAGAAAGTAGAGAATTGAGGTAGGGGGCCCTCAATATAGTGGGGCGACACGAGAAGATCGCGGTCTAAAGTGAGCCAGTGACAAGTCCAAGTCATTCACTTGTCGGATAGGGTTTGGTCACCCAGGATGCCCGGTGCACTGCTGACCAAACATTCGCTGATGAGTCCCGTCCGGTCCAATCCCTGTGCGACTGCAATTCTGAGGATACGGGGCAAGAGCAGTTCATACGCTGTTCACTGATGGTTTCAAATCCGGGTTTATCCGATTCCACTCGTTTCCCTCCTTCACCCTGCTAAAAATGCCACCAAAGGGTCCTGCAACACGGAGCTGAAGTACTTCGAAATACTACCAACTATCGGGCAATTATTTGCTTTTGGATTAAGTAAACAGCATCTGCTTAGTGTCGTATTCATCTACATCTCTTAATCGGAGTCCTTAAAACGTGGCACATACGGCCTGGTCATAGTTTTCAGGACAGTCGACGTCCCCCTAGGCCAATGACCCTCCAGTTTTCGATTTACCCTGTCTACACTGCTTACGTTACTACAGCCATTTTCGAGAAGTGTTTCTGGTGCTAATTTATTCGGAAGAAATAAGTTCCTCGTTTACGGCGATGACAGTTTGCTGAACAGGGGGCATGAAATTGTTCCTCTTGATTGGAATTCTTCGTGAACGACTTCGTTTATCAAAAACCTCGTTTACGGCGATGACAGTTTGCTGAACAGGGGGCATGAAATTGTTCCTCTTGATTGGAATTCTTCGTGAACGACTTCGTTTTATCAAAAAAAAAACGCTGTACTTTGAATTACACCTGTCTATTTACAGAAACCACTTGTTTGCAACCAGACTGATTGCCGTTCGTTACTGATCCTTTCTCCTGGTTTATCGTCGTGATCACTCTATTATGGGACGTAAATGAATTTGCCAACTGTCTCGTAGCAACGCCAGGAAATCCACTGGTAACTATATACACTTTGTACAGCTGTAAAGTTGAACTTCAAGGGATTCGAGTCACTTACGGGTAGCGCAATAACTCAGTGTATAAATCTGTAGAGTTTTGTAGTCTTTGAAGAATGTGCACTGCCAACGGGAATAGCTGTTTTGTTTCACCCGGGTGGTGCTGAAGTACGTAGATCAAGTACTACCGTGGTTTGTATTGCAAAACAGTAAGTATACCACTAGGACAAACCTCAGTGTCTGAGAGTGCTCACTTGTAGAGTAGGGAATACTATAAATCAGGTGGACATGCCCAACAGAATTCAGGACAGATATGTTGCAATTTCGCGCTCTGTCCTTCAGTTTCTTGGTCAGACCATATCGAGATCGTATGATTTTGAGGGTTCTGTTAGGTCGTTGCTATTTTGACTCGAATCGACCCTTAGTAATTGTCCAACTGAGCAACGAGTTTCATGCGTTGTCTTTACGATGTGGTAACAAAGAGTTGTGCAGACAAAAGCCCTGTCCAGTGGACTTGATTTTATCCCTACTATTCCACAAAACGTTTGTTTGGACCGTCCTTGAAATCAAACATGAAGCCAACTAAGCTCAAGGATCTGGATGCTGATAAATCGGGGAAGTGATTGCATCTCCCATCATCGTCTAAGTTTAGTCTATCAAGTAGGCATGTTTCTTGTTGTCCAACTATACACCATCATTACGTGCTACACTACGATAAAGTGCTTCCACATGAGATCCTTCGCTAGACAGTGCGCTTATCTCCTCATTTACGCCTGCGAAGCAGGTTAAATTGACAATCACGGGAGCATTGCACATCCGGTGTCTGGTTAGTACTGGTTGGTCAATGGGCTGAAGTGCAACCGTTCGATTTGAGCTCATCTGCTGCCTTGTCACGAGGTAACGAAATTATCACGTTCAAAACAAGAATAAACAGATTATTCACGACTAAAGCTGTTATGATACGTAAACGGTCTAAAGAAACCATTTTGTGCTGTTCTCGTGAACTCGCCGCTGAAATGAAGAGTAAAATGCTGACCCCTGTCCCTCAAAAAAAGAGGGGCCACATTTACCTAAATACTTTCATACAGAAAGGATACCCTACAATCTCAAACTGCCACTACTGAGCTATAGAATACAGCTCCGCATTCCATATGGAAACCAATAAATAGATTTTCGATTGAGTTGAGCGAGAAGAGAGCACATTAGATTGAGGGCATACATTTGCTTACACGTTTAAACCTTGCTGGTCTAAAACAGGGGCGGAAAACCAGCCAAAAAACCATTTGCAAAGGGGAATAAATGCGAGACATAACACCCAACAAATGAAGAACTATGATTATTAGACAGAAGTCGAATGAGGAGCGTGTAGGACAAACGAAGGCAAATCAGAAGTAAGCAAAACCGGGTCATCTGTAAGATTGAGTTCATTGTCCGAGTTGGCATTCTGTATGCGCCATCCACCGTGTGATAAATGCAACAAAAGGGCTGTGAGTAAGCGATAAATGCATTCGTTCGGAATACATACGGTGTAACCCATTAGGACAAACTGAGCCCAATGAACGGGAAGGCAGAGCTTCTGATTTCGAAAGATGTTCACCTCAGGGTCCAGGAAACGCCAAGGATTAAAACCTAGGTGAGGTGTCGGGCTAGGGGAATCAACTGGCGTCTGTCCATTCCACAATGTGAGGTCAGACAAATAAGCCGGCTGGTTGAATAGTATCAGGTCGTCTTGAGCGTAGTCGCACTCCTGTATCCGTCCGTCTCGAGTTGCTTGTCTGATGCAGCCCCAGGGCCATCCAGGTGCAGTGAAACGCATCGCTTCATTTACTAGCGCCTTTGTCCAGACAAGCTGATCTGTGCGTTGCAGTAGCAAATTGGCGGATGCCTAGAATAAGAGGAAAAACACAGCACGGCCTGCAGAACGATTTGATACATAAGGGGTGAATCTTACACAACGGCCCGTAGCTGCTGACTAATCTACCTTTTTAAAGGGATTCAGTATAGCCTGGACCCTGATGACATAGGGTCAGTGGTTGCCAGACATCGTTCTCGGCTGATCAACTAGTTCCAGGTGAGTGGAGATCTGCTACCCTGGTAGGCCCACGTTTAAAAAACACAGGGATTGACACGATTTATTACCACCACCGGATGTTTTACACAATGCCCAAAGTAGGGTGAAACCGGTCGTGGGCTGTCGAAGAGTTTCCAGCAACTTTGTGAGTGGTTTCCTTTATGGACACATCCTGCGATATCTCGAATATCGTGCCACCTGAAACATGAGGCGGCCTGTGTGCAGCACATTCAGCTGAAGAATATCATAAACGAGAGATGCAGTTGAGTCTCTCGTGAAAACCCAATTGATTTGCAGATGAGAGTATTATTTTTAAAATTGTGTTCGCATATTTATCGTTGATCCACCCAAGTAGCCGAACGGACGCTGCTTCGAAATAAGACGTAGGTCAAACCCAATTGATTTGCAAATGAGTGTATTATTTTTAAAATTGTGTTCGCATGTTTATCGTTGATCCACCCAAGTGACCGAACGGACGCAGCTTCGAAATAAGACGTAGGTTCAAGTTCCCAGAGGGGCTTTTTAAACTGGTTGTCATCCAGTGTTCCTTAAAAATCATGCCTAGGGTCAATGAACCTCCTTAAGGAGTAGTAATGTACTCTCAGGTATGCTGGACTGCGATTTTGTCGGTCGCGATATCTTATTGCTTTCATCGTGTTGTTGCGAACGGGATAAAACCTATTTCAGAAGAAAACCAAACAGGAGGTCAGGATCCAGCCTTCGTTGCTTAGACTACGTTTCTCAAGCGGAAAACCTCAACTTTTGGCAGTATGCACAAAGTCCCAACTGGACTAGAAACAAAGAAGTGGTGAGAAAAGGGTATCGGGCCACGAAAATATCGGTCACGTCACTTAACCTAACTGGCAGATTCCGTTTGATGAGTTAGGGGCTACCTGATGAGAATGACTGGATATAAATCAATGTTGAGGAGTAACGAAGTGAAAAGAGGCAACTTTGATACTACATTTTCGAATTCATTTGTGGGCGCCTAGGACTTTGTCGGTGTGATATTTGCAACCATCAATCTTAATTGTCACAATTCACCTTATTGTGGTGGCAATGGCGTCAAGCTACTGCTGCTACTCTTAAAGGATAACTGAGACCGACGACAACCGAAGCCAGTTACAACCTGAAGAAAGAAACAGGAGCTTCATCCTAACAATAGGTGTTGTGGTAACAGAGGCGCCTGACTTGATAAAACATGTTACTGGTAAGTGCCATACAACATGCACCGAGTGTGACGCTGGACGAGAGGAGTGCTCTTCAACTGACGGTCCCGTGGACACACATACGGAGTTAACTGCGTTTATTTTTCATGATTACATTTTGGATTTTTTTTAACCCGAGTAACACTACCGACCACTCAGTCATTGCACTGAACAGTGAAGCGACCCAGCAGATACACTGTCCAGATCGGTGGTCTCGGCAAGACAGTTATATGATTCCCCTTGTTGGTTTCCCTGAAAATCAGCTGCTGTGTTCTTCTGTTGCTATGATCCAGAAGTAACAGCATCTGTAGATCACACAAGCTACAGTCAACCAGGGGTTTAAATTGGCAATCAAACCCTATTCTGACTAGAATATTTAGAAGCTATAGGGAGCGTGGAATATCACAAGAGCACTCCCCACCATCAGAACCGGTAATACCTGGGGAATTTTATGGGTAGGAAAGTGTGTTCGAGAGCTCTGAGGTTGTTTTTAGTTTCTCAGACAGTTCTTCAGGTGAGAAAAGTAATGGCTAGTGAGTGGTGATAAAGTTAACTTAAAGCAGTTCAGAAAAATTTCATGGGTTTATTGGGAACAGCAAACCGTTTAGTGAAGATGGCCTCTTCGTTATCCAGCCACCTGGCACAAGCATGCCTGAGGCAGTCAAAATCAACCACTGGGAGGGAAAACGAGTTGTCCGCTAAACTCAACATGACGTCGGGGTAAACTGAGAATAGTTATCGATTGTCTGGTGACCTGGGACCATACTATGCTGTTCGGAAAAGATGCACCAGGTGAAAACGTTTTCCTGGGAGGAATGTTACTAGTCCTCAGAGGGTTTCTAAACAAAACCATGCAAAGCTATCACAACTGACGGTGTCGGATGTTCTTCTCAGTAGGTAATGATCCACAGCGCAGAGTACAATAAGCGATCCGCAGCAGTATTTCTTGTTCGAGATAATTGAATAAAGGCTAGTGAGACAATCGCTATTCTCGGAGGCTGTTGCTGGAAATTCACCCTTTTTGGCTCGAATTAACTGAGTACCAGTCTGTTCCACAGAAGTGGGTGCTATCAAGGGTTTTAAACGCCAGATTAAATGTCTCATTGACAGTCCACATGATAAAAAGATTTCAATGGGATCTTACCCATCGTAAATCGGGGACGCCGGATTCTGTCGTTGCGGATGATTCTTTGGAACTGGACAACGCTTCTTCCCTGAGGCGCTGCTGCCAGACTGGTCGTTGTGCAAGGGCAGCGAAAAGCAGTCTCAGATTTCGGGCGAGGACAAACCGCAGAATAAGGCCGATTTCAGATAAGCAATGTGTTAAGTGTGTCATGTGCATGAAGTCCACAAATTCACCTTCCTCGTTCAGCTGGTGATACGTCCGTACCAATCGATTCAAGTAGCTGTCAGACCGCGACTTCACCTGCAGTTTTCTGCTTGCAAATTCCTGAGTATGACTGAGAGAACGCGCCATCGCATGCTGAACCAATGGACTAAGAAGGCGATCGGTACTTGAAAGCAGCTCTGCAACTGTCGACGGTTCCCGCACTACCGTATCCTGATGGTTGGAGGGCTTCCCATCAATGTGGAAGGATTCCAAACTGTTCACCAGAGATTTGAAATGAGAAACAAAATTTGCCTTCTGCGCAACACTTTCATGCATGTCGTTGGCGAATTCGGAGGAGTTGAAGAAGAGAAATTCTGCTAGAACACCGCACATCCATTCTTTCAGAATGGCCTCACTTGAAATCAGCTGATGGTTTGTGGTCTCGCTCAGTCCTAAAAGGTTGGCGCCCAACAATCCGACCGCTGTGTAAGAACCATTCGGCAGGCTATCAAATGCGTGAAGCAGAACGGCACGTAGCTGAGATCGATTGAATAGTGAAGAATCAGACAAGAGTACTCCGTACCATTTGGATCGTAGTGCACCTAGGTGGGGGATAAGAATGGTGAGGTATTATGGATTAGAGACAGTGTTAAAAATAAGTATCAACCCAAACCCAATCACTGCGAACCTGAAGAATGACAAAGAATGCTTCTGGGCTGCTAAGCCTGTTGGCTTCAGCTGAAGCCAGCAATCTCGCCCTGTTTCAGTTGACTCGATCAACAGGTTAGAAGAGGGATGTCAGGGAAATAATTGGATCGAACAGTGATTTACTCGCAAAATCATTTTATTGAGCAATGGGTTAAACATTTCAAAGAACAGTTCAGCTGGTCTCCTTCAACACAACTGCTATAAGAACCGCGCGAAACGTCATTCCTCCAAAGAGACAGAGCACCTAACCCTGATGGTTTGAACTCGACACTTTTCAAAGTGTTGAAAACCTACTGAGCAAAGGTCACAAGAATGTCACATGAAAAAGACCGTCATATCAGCCTGGTAGCCGTAGCATCCAAGTCGCTCTCTGTCATTACTTTCCGCAAGTTGATCGATTACTGGGAGGAGCAAACTTGTGAGAATCAACCTGGCCATGCTTCACCTTGGGATAAGTTCTTGAAGAATACCACTGTTTCTATTGTCCCACGTGATCTAAAAGCTGCATTTGACTCTGTCAGTCGTTAGAAACTTCAGCGGTGTTCAGCAATCAAAGGCGTCCCTTCCAAATTTATATCCTTTATATTAAGGCAATGTGTGGAAACTCCTGCAGTCGTGTGTGAGTATACCAAAGGCTTTCGCCTCAGCTCAGCACGTCCAATAGTGCAGGAATAGGCTGCCCATCCTTACCATTCGTCTTCGGCTTCGTTGCTGGTGGGCCGCTTGAAACTTCCCCATCTGCATCTGAAACCTCAAGGACCGAAACGGTCCAGAGTGGTTCACTTACAGACATTGAGTGTATGGAAGATATTGCTCTTCTTGGTTCGGATCCTCCAAAGATGCAAACCATCTTAAATAAATTTGTCACATGGTTTGGTATGTCCTTCATCTAAAGTGCTGATAGAAGACTGGATTGGGTCAAACACAAACTTCATGCTTGCAGACAAGTCAGTTAATGGAGGAGATTAATCTCTTCTCCTGGGCAGTTGTATGAGTTATGCTGTACTAGTTGAAGATAAGACCATCTATCGAATGGGAAAGGCCAGGAAAGTTCTTGCCAACTTCCGACTCCTACAGCACCGATGTGACGCCAGTTGGCTTATCAAGGACGGCGCATATCTTACGACGACGTGATCTACACGGCTTTGTGGATTAGAAACGTGGTCTTTATGAGCGGCGATGCACGGAAACTATCAGAGTTTGACCAACAGTGTCTCCAAATCACCGGCCGGGTCTGATGGGAGCATCAGATTAGCAATGCTGAGAAATACCATGTCCTAGGAGAAAGAACTCGCTCGCGATGGGTGAGCTATCCACGCTTCACAGGTTGCGCTGGTTGGGACATATTTCGTGTTCGTGTTTCGCCCAGCCGTGTGCTGAGTAGAAGAGACCAAAAGGTGGACAGTGTATGAAAACACTAACCAGTACACTCAGTAGGGCTGACAACTGCCACCTCCCTGGAGAGCCTGGGACTCAACTCATCAAGGGTTAATGACAATGTAAGAAATGGCCTGCTCACGCAATCAATGGCGCACCTGCATCAAAGCTATCACTTAAAAAACGTACCTGAAGTTTTCCGTTCTTTCAAATGAGTGAATGGATTTAGTAACAAATAAGTGATTACACTGTCGCTTCCAATGCTCGGCTATATACCTTTCACTCTCGAATTTTCTGGTGGTCGAAACTGAAATACCTGGAACCAGCGTACCCTTGGTACCTGGCTTGTGATTGACAAACTGAACTGAAATAAGTAACGTACCGGTGGTTACGACCAACCGTCGCACGACCGTAAGAAATACAGTTCGGCTAGAGGGAAAAATTACTGTCTTCACACTACTATCGCAGGGCACAGTATGACCTGATCCCCAGTTCACCTCATACGATCACTTATAGGAAGAGATTGCTCCTTCGTTTGGCTGCGACTCTGGGCTCTTAGAATGGTCGCACCTTGAGGAACGAGATTCCTGTGTGCATAACCCGCTGTACCAATACAACACTCATGTCCGACAATCAGATCAAGGTGGGTTTATCAAAGCGTTTTATGGGTTCTATGAAAGCACAAGTGGTTGACGTGTACCAACTTGGTTGGAATAACAAAACTTCCCTGCGACAACAGTACTCAGCTTAACGGACACAGAAGCAGGATAGATTCTCGGCTAAGACATACACGCGCGTCAGACAGAAGATAAGTTTACATATCTAATGGGATCCCCAACCACCCAGAAACCAGACTGGTTTGTGCGTACTCAAGGCAGACGTCAAGTAGATAATTTTAAGGCGGCTCAAATTGTTTCTAAAGGAGGTGCTCACCCGCCTGAATGAGTTTAACGGAAGAATGTGGAGAACCACATGTGTCAAGTAGATGCCGAACCTAAATGCCTCCATGCGACGCCAGCCAAAACTTGATATGCCGACAGAAAAGAATCTCCGGTAAGAACACAAACTACTGGTAAATGGTACAGCCCTCTCCTCGTATGAGTGAATTAAAAAAAAATCACCAAAAAACCCATGTTACTCTTGTGCGCAGAATCCCAAAAAGGGATATTCAATCTACTCGGCTACAAAACAGTATACCCCAGATTTTGATATTACTTTTCATTCATTTCCGGACATTATTGGTCCCTCGACCCACTTACCTCGCACTCCGTTCTTTACACACTTGCCCGTGGATGTACTCAAGCATACACGTCATTTCCGACTAGTATCATATATATCGGTAGTGGACTAACCAAAATGATCAACCGAAGAAAATATTCGATACCCTTATCATGACTTCAAACGTTGGAAATATCTACGAAAGTCGATCGCTCAGCTGTGGCGCCATATCAGTGCAAAACTGCCGTGTTACTTCAAGGAAGTACGTCCGTGGAGGTATTGCCACGCTGCTCAAGCCTATAAAAGAGCTACCGAAAAGTTAGGGTTGGGTTCGAAACAGGGAATTTCCGGTTGGCAGTTACGCTACCTCGATCCAACTTGAAACAGATACCTTGTTCTGGTTGCTGAATGCACACTTAAATGAGCAAACGAATTGAGCCAAAACGTTCGTATGTATCATGCTGTCGATGATGATGATGAAGATCAAACGGCATTGACTACTACGGCAAGTGGTACGTTTCCGACCAAGTCTGTCCATCTTGATTTGGGACCTGTTACCGTCAGCAGCAAGCAAAGCATGTGGTACTTCAGGGGGTTTGTTCATTGATACTATCGCCACACCATGTGCATTACTTAAAACGGACACAGTTATTCAACATTATAAAAGTTTGCTCATTGGTGCTGCACTTCATCTAGTCAGCTAACGAGGATTATTTGTGGAAACAGGGCTCACCAGAACAAAACAAGTCTGGGGCTGCATTTTTAAATCTCACTGGCGTCCGAATGACATGAAACTGAAGTCTAGTATTCCACTGGGTTTTCTTGTGAGGTTGTGAGTGAAAACTAGTTTCGATGGAAGCTTAATCAGTGTGACTCGGTGAAAACATCGGATATAGATGTCCTATTTAGTTGCCTATTTATTTAACTTTTTTGCTGGACGAATTTGTTTATTTTTGTTCAGCTAGTTCAAAAAATACGAGTGACCAAACTGATCAGTGCAGAGTGAAATACATCCGGTGTAGCGTTCGACAGTCCATTTCCCTGTACTTCGTTTAAGTTTGTTGAAGGGGTGTTATGGTTTAAGCACACAGTATGCAATAATTTGCGCACCGCAGTTTCCGCTGAAGCCTTCACCTGCGCACAGTGTTCGGTCCATAGGGATTAGAACGTAGGACTAGGAAATGTTTTTTATTTTCTCGCGAAAAAAGTGGGGAGTGCTTGCGCTTCCAGGATGATTACACCAACAGTGAACTCATTGAAGGCGGTAATCAGCAGGTTACAAAACTGACGCAGGGATCCACTTACCTGGGGCTGCGGAGTAGAAGCAATCTAAGTCTATTGACTGTTCGTGTAACTTGATCAATTTCCAATCATTGACGACCACAGCCGTGTATCTACCAAGGCGACCGGTCACGACTTCCGAACATGAGGTGGTTGAAGTCCCCGATAACAACAGCTGGAAGTCAAATCGATAGAGGTCACCTATCTTAGGCACCATGAACCGATTGTCTCTAGGTGCTCTTCTGTAGGACTGGAAAACATGGGGATCAATACTGTATTAAAGTACAACTGACTGTACCTTTCGGGAGGCGTGCCATGCGGCTATGAGAAGGAGCGTCAAAAAAACAAACACAGTAACTAGGATCTTCAGCGACAAATCGACAGATCGATGAGGTGTAAACAACCAGTCATAGTAATAAATGTTGGGCGTCTCCATAGTGACCGAATGCCGATAACATTAGTCGTATTCTCATTCAGAGCGGAGAACGAGTAACTTGTTGGAAGGCTGGAATGGAAGAAAGTAAGTTTCTGGATAAAAATGGACGCAAGCGGCGAATAAAGGGTGTAGCTCGGATTCTAAAATGAGTCCTTCAACACAACGACGGCTCACAGACCCTCACTGTGTATCAAGCTCAGCTGCAGATCGTGTACAACTTCGGTAACAGCCCCAAACACTTCGAAGTCTGTCTTTAAAACCCGAAAGCCTGTCTAATTAGCTAGAGCAAACAAAACAACAGGTGGCTCGTGATCGCACGCTGAATTCACTCTGCATTGATGTATGCTGTCTGTTAGAAGCAAGGACGTAGGACGCAAGAACTGACTGCCCCAACGCTCTCCCCCAGGTTCCGGCTGCGCAGCTCTGGTGGTGCGGAGGCCAGTGCAGCCGGATATGTCGGGGTGGAGTATTGGATTGAGCGACCGAGTGGAAGCGACTAAATAATTGTTCAGCTGTAGCATCCTTTCGGTGCCTAACTGCCATGCCATCCGAAGGCAGCATGAGGGCTGGGATACTGCCAGCCCAGACACGGGAAGTCAAAAGGCAGAGGTCAAGTTCGAACCCCGGAGCTTCCGGTCAGTGAATTCGCGCTCTAACCGCTGAGCCATCTCGTTTATACTTGACTGGATAATTGGCTGATAGTTGCACCTGCGCAACTTACTGTAGCCCAACTTACTGTAGCTCTAGATCTACCAGACAGTTTTTACTACACTAGGTGCTCTTTTATAACGGGCTAAAGGCTAAGATATCGTTGTGTCTGGTAGGTAGGTAGGTAGACTAAGCACTGCTTGGGCCCCATTGGGTGGCCGGCTTGGGTTGCACGTGAGATTCACGGGCAACGGAGAGCTTGAATTGTGTGCCGGTCACAGACTGTCCCTTTGCAATAGCAATTTCCGAAGCAATGGAAATCACTTGAAAACATGGTTCCCACCAACGAATCCAAATAGACCACATCACCGTCAGTTATCGATGAAGAGGGCCAATCACTGCTTGCTGCTCCTTCTGGAACACAAACGTGGACTCTGGACATGCACTTTTCATTGCGCCTTCAGGTCTACGCAAAACGCGCACACATTGCCTAGCCGTTGAGAAGCATGCGGACCCAGAAATCAAAATAAATTTCAGAACCGGCTGCTGGAGAGCCTGATGTCGGATAACAATGGCCACTAGGAACAGATTTTCAAAGGGCTACCCAAGGCGGGAACCATTGTCTGCGGAACAAATCAGCCAACCTTATCCAAACATTGGAGCTCCGACAGGACTGTGGCTTTGCTGGAAGCCCGACGGCAGATTCCCCCTGGTCACAACCACAACTCAAATCCGATGCCAGGTAAAACTGAGTGTCCGTGCAGACCGCGGGGCCTCGTCGGTCAGAAAGGTCGAAGAAATGAGAGGAAAAATGCTGGAAACGTCTGCAGGCTGTCCAACTTGATTCGTTCGACTGGGTCCTCGGAAGCCTCTCGTCTAGGAAACTATCAGGGACCAGAATGTCTCTCTGATACCCACAAAAGGAAGTTTGGACCGCTGGACAATATGATTTGGAAACAGTTCACTTAGCCAGCTGCCACCTTCAATCCGGACTGCTGGCCTGCAACAGAGAGGTGGACTGTAAACATGGAACCCCTTCAGCCTCAGGAATGTCCGAATGTGTATCCCTACTCAAGCGTTATTGTATTCCAAGTGCCGACGACCTTCTGCCAGCTCCGTTCAAGATGGATGTGAATTGCTCAGTCAGTGCCTATCTTATCTACTTATGTCCATCTGGGAGAAAGAGACCGTTCCAGTTAACTAAGTAACTAATAGAACCCAATTTCAAAAATCATACTGGGAGTGAATGTGGTGATCGCAGAGGTGTTAGTTTGATTAATGTTGTGACAAGGGTTCTGGCATCATTGATTCTTTGTCGTCTTATGGTGGCAGGCGAATCCTTGACGTGTGAGCAGCAAGAGGGATTCCGATCGAGTACAGGCTGCATCGACCAAATCTTCATACGCCGTCAGGTGTTAGAGCATCGCCATGTGTACAGAAGATCCACAATCTTAGTATTCCTTTACTTCAAGAATGTGTTCGATCCTATCGGTCGGTCAGCGCTGTCATCCACATTTGCTCAATACTGTATGCCCCAGGAGTTTCTGAACATAATCTGGTCGCTATTTCCACATACTTCTGGGAATGTAGATGTGTGGTCAGCTCTCCAAAAGCTTTCCTATATAAAGTGGTGTCCTTAGAATTTCCACTCTTTGGTGAAATAATACGGCGAACACTAGGTCTTCAAAACCCCGGTGCTCAAATCGTTGCTGGTGAGAACTTGTCGATCTGGATTATGAATAGGTCGTCTTCACCTGTGACAAAACTGACCACCATCATACCATCTTTCGGCATGAGCCTAGCATCTTCAAAGTTCAGTCATGTCTCAGAAGATACTCCTTACAATTCAAGGAGAATCATATAAGGTTGTGGAGAATTTTACTGAGCCAGTTTGTGTGCTGACAGACAGGTTAGCAGATTTAACAGCAGTGTAACGTTCGGCGAACGTTTGTTGATTCCTTCACACCTACCGACACTTCATGACTCTCATTCCACATTTCAGACACTACTTGGAG